CAGTCAAATATTACAAATTTACATCAATTAAAAAACAACAACAACAAATGGCTGAAATTCCGGGTTCAAGTAGAACATCCCTAACTCAAAGATTACAAATTTACATCAATACAAAAATCAACAAATGGCTGAAGAGATGCCTGAAAGAAACTCTGCTCATATTTTTGTCAGATGATTGAGTAAAGGAGTAGAAATTTCGTTTGTAACATGACAGACCATTGGATCAAGTGAAGTAGAGTTCACCTGTTTTTGTGACCTCGGCGTATGAAGGGATAGGGTGGTCAGCACTATGTCCAGCCGCCTCAGTTGATTTACCACCGTGATAAATGAATGGGATGAGATCAAATGGGGAAGCGTGCTTCAGGTTACGAACCTCATATGACAACCGAGGGTTCGTAGACCGAAGCCTCTGTGAGTTGTGTGGAAATTTGTTTTACAAGCTTTTATTTAACTCACTGTCTCTGTCGTTCTGTCGTCAGTCTATCGTCAGTCTAGATCGAAACGCCCGAGTGAAATTTCTGACATTTCTAACTGACAGATTTGTTTCAACATTGGCACGTGGGTCAAGACATGAAGACAATGCAACATGACATTAAGTTTGACTTAATTGGTAGCCCAATTATTTTTTATGAAGTAATTAATATTTTGTTTAAATTAGTAGGCTGTCTCATCCAACAATACCGCACTATTATACACGCGTCATCACGTTCATTAGGTGCGCAATGGTTTTTAGACCTGCAATTATTGTAAATTTTTAAAATTTAAAGTACTGAAAAAAACCTCATAAAAAAATAAACCGGGAGTGATCTCCCCTAAACTTTCTCGAATATTTTTATATAAAATAACAGGGGATGGGAACTCGGGCTATAGACATGATTTTTAATCCATTTTAAATACTTAAAGTATTAAAAATAGAATAAAATCTCGTAGACAAAAGAATTGCACACCAAGTGAACGCTAAATAAAAAAGTGCATAAAAATTTACATTAGTTTTTTGAGAAATCGGAAGTAGCGTAAATTACTACTTCCGTTAAACGGAAATGACTCAAAATTTAACAGAAGGTAGAGAATTAGATCTTTTACTTACATGAGAAATTTCGTTTATCTATCTGAAATAGTACTCAAGTTATAGGCTTTTGAAAAATTCAAAGTAGGAAAAGTACCACTTCCGGTTATCTGAAATCGCTCAAAAGTTGATACGGATCTACGATTTTGATAAAATACTTATATATGAAATTTCATCAACCTAGCTGTAACGGTACTCAAGTTATCGTGTTTACACACACACAGACAGACAGACACACAGACAGACACACAGACATACGGACAAGATTGCAAAATTATGTTTTTCCGTATCCGTGAGATGTAAAACGTCGAGATTTGTAAAAATCTCGATTTTTTTTTTTGCACGATTACAATACTTTCTCTATGCTTCGTATATACGAGAAAGTAAAAAGTTAAATAACAAGCTTTTATGTAATAATGCACTAAAAAGTCGAAAATAAATTATACACTACTATTTAAATAACTATAAAGAAAAGCGTGGGTCTCTTCCTTAACATTAGTAAAGGTATCCAATAGATACTAAAGTGACCCACGCTTTTCTGTATAGTTATTTAAATAGTAGTGTATAATTTATTTTCGACTTTTTAGAGCATTATTACATAAAAGCTTGTTATTAATACGTTTTTTAATGAATTTTTTTTTAGGTTTTTCTCTGTGCTGTCAGGTTAGCCCACTTTAAAGGGGATCCAGGGACGCACGCTTATGGGGAGGGGGGGGGGTTAAAAAAACAAGTAGCAAAAATAGCATAGGTTTGTATTTAAATAAAAATCAACAAAATTGATTTTAAAATGATGTAGTGGTATAATTAATTATAATAAGAGTACGGGCAGCGTAAGTTGTATGTTGAAAATGTGACCGTTGCATTAGAAAAGGGGCGGGGCAAGAATGTGCTTTTAAAACCTTGGCGCCATTTATAATCAACCCCTTTCGCTTAATGAACACTTTGTCAAACATTGGATTTTAAAATTACTATTGTATTCTGCTTTTCATGGGAGAGAATAAGAATTGGAAGATTTAAGTTTTTTCTGATGAACAACCACAGTTTGAGTCGTACCTTTATATTCTCCAGTAGAGAAAAAAAAAACAATGTAAACACAGACCATTTAAGATGCAATTAATTGTTCAATTAATTATTAATTAATTGTCGAGGAACCAAATTTAAAAAAAAATAGTTTAACTGTTTAAATATTTTTTCCTGTGCAGTCTACTTTATATAATTAAGAGCTATTTCTGCTCAATTTGCTAAATGTTAGTTTATTTGTGTATTTAAATGATTTGTCTCCCCTTTTTGTTTTTAAATACAGACAATGTTAAAAATCTTTAAAAACACAACAGTATTGTTAAAAGAATGATTATCACACGGATAATCAGACTAATGACCAACTAATGAAGCAGAAGCAATTAATACTAATGTTTATTTCAATAGTACAATTACATAAAAGCTTTTAAAAATTTAAAGTGCAATTTACCAAAGCATGTCTTTAACGGGTTAATCTTGTTTTAAAATATTTTAAGATCAAACATTTTAATAACAATTATTTTATTTTTATAGTGCGAGATAATTAGCAATAACAAGGTATATTTGTAATTAAAGTAATGGAGTAAGTAAAGGGAAGTAATACAACGCATGCGCAATGTCTTTATTAATTTGTAAGAACTTTTCACAAGTGTTGAACAAAGGCAACAAAGTTAGCCAAATTTTATTTAACTTAAAGAAAGGAATTTGGTCTGCAAAATTTCTAAAGAAAAAAAAATCTGGTTGAAGAATAGAAACAGCTGTTTAATTAGTAATATGACTGCTAAGAAAATGTCCATTAATTAAAATACAACAAAGTAATTTACGCGGATATTATTTTTTCACAAATGCAAATAATGAACAATTAGGAGGTATACAGAATTAAAGATAATAAGATATTAAGCTTAATCAATGAAGACTGTCTTTAAAGATTACAGTGGAAGAAATTCTTTGAATGCAGTTTGAAAACGTGCGAAAATATGGGGACAGTTTGGGTCTTGTGTTTCAAATGGGAGTTCATTCTCTGTGATATTGAGTTAAGCTCCCGACTTCAAGTCTTTAGCTCCCAACAGTAAAATTTACTCTAAACGTAAATCCTTCAGCTTTTAAGATTAAGCATTTAGCTCCCAAACTCAACCCTTTAGCTCCCCAACTGTAAACCTTTCACTCGTAATCTTAAGCTTTTGACATTGACCTCCTAGCCTCAGGCTTTTAGCTCCCAACTTCAACCCTTTAGCTCCAAACTTTAAGCCTTTAGCTCTCAATTTCAACCCTTTACTAGATTCTACAGAAAGCTATGTCGCTCAGCCAATCAGCTCCAAGCTTCTTTTGGTTTTTATTAAACCTAATTAATTAAGTTATATTAATTAGAACCGACTTCTTTCTTTGCAATAGAAACCAATCCGTTTTTTCTTTCTACCGAAGGGCTTATTAACCTAATTAATGTTCACAAAAGCAAATTAAAAATCCCAAAATAAATATGTTGCCTGTAATATTGAGTAGCCTACATCATAAATATTCATTGCTGTAAAATGCCGAAGGTTCTTATTAGATGTAATTAATTACCTATTGTGTTGGTGAGTACTGCAAATTTAGTACTGGTCTAAAAGTACAGACCAAAATGTATTGCCCCTCATGTACTTAGCAGGCACTGAACCAGAGGCGTAGCGAGGGAGGGGGGAGGGGCGGGGGTGCGGACCGCACCGGGTGACACCATTTAAAGGGGGTGACACCATGGCAAAAAATTAGTAAAAGATATACAGAAAAACTTGAGGGGGGCGCAAATCGAAAATTTGAGGGGGGGGGGGGGGTGCAAATAGAAAAATTTGAGGGGGGGGGGGGTGTGCAAATAGAAAATTTGAAAATTTGTCCTTGAAAATTTGTCCCCGGGATGGGTCGCTACGCCTCTGGGGGGTGAGGGTGACACCATTAAGTGCCGCACCGGGTGACACCCGACCTCGCTACGCCACTGCACTGAACTAGTACTGACCATCAAATACTGACTATATAGCACTGACCAATCAGTTTTGAACATCATATACAAAGCAGGTACTGACCATCAAATCTTGACCATCAAATACTGACCATAAAATTATGACCAATAAGTTATGACCATCAAAAACTGACCATAAAGTTATGACCAACAAGAACAAAGCAAGCACAGGTCATCAAATACTGACAATCAAATACTGACTATCAAGTACCTACCATCAATCACTGACCAAAACTAAATTCACACGTGTATAATTTTATACACAATCAACATGCAATGTTAACTAGACATCTTACATCAGAAAAAAATTAATGTCAGCTTCTGACTCCAATTTTCTGGCAAAATTTTAAAAGAAAACTTTTCTTCATTAGCTGTTCATTCAGATTATAGAAAGCTTTTACCAAGAAGAAATTTAAAAAGAAAATCGTTCAAGTTTTCTAAAAAGTGAAATGTCTTAATACTCTTGACCAGTGTGTGAAACAGAAAGAAAGATCGGAGGAAATGAAACGGCAGCCATCTTTATTTCAAAAAGTTAATTTTACTCGAAGAAAACTGAATCGTATTTTTTTTTATTTCTCCCTTTCTTAACGCCCCTGAAAAGTTTTTTGATTAAATCTTTTTGATTTAATCTTTTGAAAATCAAAGGTAAAACTCGAAAAAAAATATTTTTCATAATTTATTTTACAATTTTATTCTGTCGTAAAATTTTTTGTTTTTTGTGCAGATATTAAATTTTTAAAATTGAATTTATTATTCTATTTTACGCACACTTCGCTTTTATTCTTTTTTTTAAAAATAAAAACTGTATCAAGATTCAGAGATTATACAAATAAAACTAAAATAATGCATGCGTTTTTTTTGTTGTTGAGGATAAGCTTAGCATGAATACAATTACAATATTAAATAAACAAGGAAAAATAGTTGTAGTTTTTTTTTTATTTAAGCTTATTTTATTTCAGCCTCAGATATAAGTCAGTAAAATAAAGTCCATTAAAAAGTTGAACATTAATATATAGTCAGTGAGGGGAGGGTAGCATGCAAAAATTGATATGGGAGATAATATAAAAGTGGGATTAGTAAACAAACACTAATGTTAATATAATATTAGGGTGACATTGTATTTCAACAATTACATAACTGCATTTTATAAAATAAAATCTATACACTATTTTACACTTATTTTTATCATATTCGACAAAAATTTTCATTTTTTTTGTTCCATTTTTCAAAACCATTTATTATTTTGGGCATGTTTTTAAAAAAATAATTAGACTAAAAAACAAGATTAGTAAAAGGAGAAAAAAAATCACTTGCTGATTAAAAACATATATAGACTAAAATTCTCTTCAGTTGTTTATATAAAATCTTAATATTTTCCAATGTTAATGTTGCTTTCTCAAATAATTTCACAACTGTTAAATTCTATTAAAAATTATATCCAATATAATAATTAAAACATTTTTTTCATAATTTTGTTTTTCAACTGCATAAAATTAAATTCTAAAATAGGCAGGGTACCACAATCAACAAAACAGTTAATTAAGACAAAACACTTTATGAAGGTCGAGATTATTTTATTTATTCATGTATGTGGAGTTGCTAAGTGTAGAGATTTCATCACTGAAATTTAGCTATATTTTTTTAACGTGTTAGTAAATTTGATAAAGTACATATGAAACACATTGGATTTTGTGTGTAATGTGTGGTGATGTGACGTCAAATTTAAAATGAGAAATGCCAATGAAGAATGAGTCATGAGTATAAGATTCATTAGCTAAATTATTGTAGTTATAGAACAGTTTTTTTTTTTTACAATTTCAAAACAATTTAAATATTATTTTTTTAATTGTAGAAGTGTTGGTCGTCTTATGTAGTGAGGGATGACCTCGGAAACACCAACTAAACATTTAAAACAGTTCAGTGAGATTTTACAAGATTATCTCAAATTTACACAGAATCTTGCATTGATTTCCATTTTTTTTTTCAAAATAATTAGTTAATTGGATATTTTAATTAAAACTTCAAACATAGAAATTTTTATTTGGAAATATCAAAAGATCATAAGAATCAACAAAAAAATATTTTTTTAAAATTTGCTTTGAAATGATTTTATTTTTTCGAGAAATCCAGCTTGTTAGATAATCCAGTGTGATACAAAATTTAATGGTGGAGCGGGTGGTATACAGTTTGTTTTGTTTTATTGATAAATGAGGTTGAGTGGATGGATTGAAATAAAGTAAAATAAAAAAAAAAAAATAACATACACACCTTTTTTTCATTCATTACTTATGCACATTTCATCAGTCTTCACATTCAATTTTTAAAAAAAAATTATTTAACAAAAAAAAAATATCAACCAATCAAAGTTATGTCAGAGCTTCACCGCCTGTTACACCACAATACTAAAGGAACTCTCCTCAGAGGAAGATAAAACTGGTCTTTTTCTCATGCTCCAGATCGTACTTGCAGACTTCCGGTTGGTGCCCGTCCGTCATCTCCCAGGTGCCGTGACAGTGGGGGACGTCCACAGCCTTCCAGGCGGTCTCCGTCTTGAAGACTCCGTGACCCAGGCACCTCATGCCGACCTCACGGTTCATGGCCACAGGTTGGCACTCCACGCACACGCTCGTGTTGACCTTGAGGACCTTGGCCCATTCAGAGTTCTCGCAGCCGTGGTGGCTGGTCAAGATCTTGAAGTTACTTCTGTACCTGTAGGGGCAAGAGTAACATTATACAGGTTAGATGGTCAAGATCTTGAAGTTACTTCTGTACCTGTAGGGGCAAGAGTAACATTATACAGGTTAGATGGTCAAGATCTTGAAGTTACTTCTGTACCTGTAGGGGCAAGAGTAACATTATACAGGTTAGATGGTCAAGATCTTGAAGTTACTTCTGTACCTGTAGGGGCAAGAGTAACATTATACAGGTGAGATGGTCAAGATCTTGAAGTTACTTCTGTACTTGTAGAAGCAATAGATCACCTTTAGAAAATAACATACACATACAGATGTGCTACTCAGGATCCTTGTGGATTTCATGAAATTCACAAATCCCATTTTCAGACCAAACGATCCATAGGTAATAAGAAGGGATGGTGTGGTCAGTACTGTCTTTAATTTCCCTATCGTGAATCAGGAACCCATCAGAGCTGGGTCGACTCACGGTCGTTCTGAAGTCCCGAGTCTAAACCAAAATCCGAACTCGAAATCTTCGGACTAACAGTCGAGCATAAGGATTAAGAAGTGAAGACACAATGTCTTTGTTTACTTATGTATACAAATTACACAAGAAGGTTGGAGGTTATTTCATATCACTGACATCTTACAGACATGCTAACATCAGTTAGTTAAATATTATTTTATGACCCATATGGTCATCTGACCCATATGGTCATCTGACCCAGGCGATCATGTGACCCAGTTGGTCATTTGAGTCATGTGATCATCCGCACAGCGACGGCGTGGTCTAGCGCTTACTAAACTGAAGTCGCGAGTTCGGATCTCGGGCTTGAGACCGTAGTTCGTCCAATGACTGATGCACTGGGGGAGGAAGCAAAAGCTTTCAGTCGTGTGACCCATACAGTCTCCTGACCCATAGTCAAATGACCCAAATGTCCTTTGACCCATACACAGGTTTAACAAATTTGAGCAGTCCCCCCCCCCCCCCCCCCCCACAACCACAGAAGACTTACGTGGCTCTAGTGAAGATCTCGTTGAAGTATTTGTTGTACAAGTTCTTGAGGATGCCCTTCCATGGATCGTATTTCTTGGCGGTTCTTGAGTTACCGAACTCAAGGGGCAGAATTCTGGCTTGTTCTAGGGGGGAAAAGAGAAGATAACTATTTGCAAATAGTTGAGTGTGTTGTCTGCATTTCACTGTTCGAACATAAAGTAATTTGTAATTTTCTTAATAGTTTAGTTTATTGGTTGAAGAAATTGTAACTTGTGAGTGACAATAAGAACAATCAATAAAATGGCTACCATTCCCTATCCTTCCCCACCCCACACTATACACCCCCCTCCCCTTTCTGAAGACGTGCAAATTATCTGTTGATTAACAACCGACTAAGGTTGCTGGAATTAATCCTCTCCCATATCCCCCCCCCCCCCCTATGTCCAATAATTTGACCCCCAACCCCTCTCAACACACCCTTACTCAGTGTTTCTTCCAGACTTTTTTTTCTCCGTGGATGCAGTTGAAATTTTCGGGGGGGGGGGGACACTGTTAAAGTATATATTTTCTATGCAAATTCCATTTCGTTCGGAGGGGGGTTGTGCCCCCCCCCCCCCCCCCCCCCCGCGAAGAGATGCCGGGAAGAAACTCTGCCCTTACTTATCCCATTAATCTGACCCAACATACAGACACCCACATCCCGCCATGTCCAATGATTTGACTCCCACCCCCTCTACACCCACATCCCGCCAGGTCCAATGATTTGACTCCCCCCACCCCCTCTACACCCACATCCCGCCAGGTCCAATGATTTGACTCCCCCCCACCCCCTCTACACCCACATCCCGCCAGGTCCAATGATTTGACTCCCCCCACCCCCTCTACACCCACATCCCGCCATGTCCAATGGTTTGACTCCCCCCACCCTCTACACCCACATCCCGCCATGTCCAATGGTTTGACTCCCCCCCCCTCTACACCCTTATCCCGCCATGTCCAATGATTTGACTCCCCCCCCCCCTCTACACCCTTATCCCGCCATTTGACTCCCCCCCCCCTCTACACCCACATCCCTCCATGTCCATTGATTTGAACCCACCCCACGCACACCCTTACTTATCCCTCCATGATCATTAATCTCATCCCACACACAGACACGCTTAACCATCCAAGACCATTAATGTGAACCCCTCCCCCCCCCCCCCCCCACACACACACACACATCGTTATCCCTCCATTTTCACTAACCAGAAGTGTCGAAATATGCCCCAAGTCCTTTTAGGGGAATGGGGGGGGGTGTCTTCAAGCGGTCAGTACATTTCTATAACGTGACATTTTGCCCTTCATTAAAAATTTCAAGTACTCTTCGAGCCCTGGCGTCCACCCCCCCCCCCCCCCCTGACACTTCACCCCACCCTTATAGTCACCCCCGAAATAACCACCAAGCACCGAATAAAGGGACACAACTTGAACTATTTGTAAAGGGACACAACTCCGATAATGGCTAGTACCGCAAGTGTATAAGGTCACAACAAAATACATAATCACGTAACTAACGAGAGGATGGCTTACATAGAATACGAACACATATAACTCGAGTGCATATCAGTACATAATTATATTGTGATATACACTATACACCAACAAGTGAATAAAATATGGAATTATGTCTTCTGAACAAAATTTTAATATTTCGAAATAAAACTTAATTTATATAAAACTTTATTTAGAAAATGTTTTTTTTTTTCAATTAAAGACAGAATTTTTTAAAAAAGTTTAACCAAAATGTCCAAAGAAATATAATATCGTCCTCTACGTTCACGGTATTCATACCGTGGTTCGGATTGTTCATAGGATATGGCTGTCTAGACATGCGCGCGCATCACAAATTGGATCAGTCGAAATTTGCATAAAAATCATTTTGGTGATCGAGGATAGATTTATGTAAGAAATGCCATTCAGATCATATTTCCCGTATACCATAACTAAGATAGTTTATCTGTATCTGAAGAATGGAAGGGATTAGTTTAATATCTGGCTGGGGTTTGACGGATACAGAAATAGAATTGTGTGGGGTGTTAAATATAGGATAGCAATCACAGAACAAAATAAAACATTGGACAATTCGGGAAGTTGTGTGTGAGAGTGCGAGGAAGGGAGAGAGTTAAGGAGTGGGAGAGGGAGAGAGAGTTAATGAGTGGGAGAGGGAGAGAGAGTTAAGGAGTGGGAGAGGTAGAGAGAGTTAAGGAGTGGGAGAGGGATAGAGTTAGGGAGTGGGAGAGAGCTAAGTAGTGGGAGAAAGTTAAGGAGTGGGAGAGGAAGGGAGAGAGTTAAGGATTCGGGGAGAGTCAAGGAGTGGGAGAGGAAGGGAGAGAGTTAAGGAATGGGAGAGGAAGGGAGAGAGTTAAGGATTCGGGGAGAGTTTTGGAGTGGGAGAGGAAAGGAGGAGTGGGAGAGGAATGAGGACAATGATATAGGGTTGGAGGAGAGAATGAGAAAACGGTAAAGGAGGAAGAGGTGTGATAAGGAGTGAGGACATGAGAGAGGGAATAAGACAGGGAGGAGGTGAAATAACGAGAGGGAATGAGACTAAAAAAGATATGAGAGAGACAGGGAATGGAGGAGGGAGGGAGGGTTAGATAAATGAGAAACTGGGAGGAAGACGGAGTAAGAAGAAGAGAGTGTGAGAGAAGGAATGAAGAAAATGCAGATAAGGGTATCAATAAAACAACCAAGTTCTTATATCGAACCCAAGAACCCAACCAATATTTCATTCTGGAAAATGAAAATTCTTCTTTCCTCCCCAACCCACCCTTTATACACTAATCTAATACGGTCGTCACGTGACCTGGCTCCATAAACTTACAGTGGGTACATACAACAGACTACAGACAAAATAAAACAGACAATAAACAATAGACATCAGACAAAAGACATCAGACAAAAGACATCAGACAAAAGACATCAAACGCAGCTGGACGTAGAGTAGCCGGAGTTTATTTTCCTCGACTGACGTCACAAAGTTGTATCGGGGGCACGGAGAAAACCTGGAACATTCCTGGCATATCTTTGCCCTACAAGACACACAGATCTGCCAGATAGCAGCGCTTTGTTTGATTCTGGGGGAGGGGGGGGGGTGTGGGAGACACTTACTTGGACGGTGGGTAAACACGGCATGCGTGCTGATAGACAAAAACATGGGGGGGACTACTCTGTGGTCAGGTGTTTTGGTAGTTGTCACATAACTAGCTAGTGGTGACATGGCTAGGTAGTGTTCACATAACTAGCTGGTGGTGACATGGCTAGGTAGTATTCACATAACCAGTTTAGTGTCAGGTATCTAAGTAGTGGTCACAGAACTACCTAGTCAACAACTAACGATTTTCCTCCTAGGACCGACCAGCCCCATGTCATGTTAGTGTATTAAACAGCGCCATTGTCGACATGTTAAGTCACTATGGACTATCAAAAAGTTATTGAGAACCGCATTGAAGAAAAGACTTTACAGAATACGTCGCCTGACCATAACTTCCAGAGACGATGGTTAAGACAAGCGTTAAGAGTCCCACATCACCATGTCTAACCCTCCCTACCTCTCTGTACCCCCGCGTTGCTATGGAGACAGGATAACCCTGAAATTGTTTTGTCAGGTCGTAGTCACAAGCCAGGTGTTAAAGACAAGATACCTGTCGCAGGTGTGGTAGACAACATACCTGCCTGTCGCAGGTGTGGTAGACAACATACCTGTCTGTAACAGATGTGGTAAACAACATACCTGCCTGTCTCAGGTGTGGTAGACAACATACCTGTCTGTAACAGATGTGGTAAACAACATACCTGCCTGTCTCAGGTGTGGTAGACAACATACCTGCCTGTCTCAGGTGTGGTAGACAACATACCTGCATGTTACAGGTGTAGTAGACAACATACCTGTCTGACTCAGGTGTGGTAGCTAACATACCTGTCACAGGTGTGGATGACAAAATACCTGTCACACACAGGTGTGGTAGACAAGATACCTGTCACAGGTGTGGTAGACAACATACCTGTCTGACACAGGTGTAGAAGTCAACATACCTGCCTGTCAAGACCACTCACTGCCTCGGTCTGAGTGAGATCCGTTTCACGATAAGCCCCATGGAGTTAATAACCAGATAAAAATATGCCCGGGGAGAATTTCAATTTCTGAACACCCCGCCCACTGCCGGTCAATGACTTGTGTTTACTCTAGCCTGTCCGCCCCCCTCACCCCCACCCCTTATGTTACCGGTCACGTACTGAAGTGCAAAAACCAACGGTCTAAGATGTGTGGGGTGTGTGTGTGTGTGGGGGGGGGGAGGGAGGTGGTAGTCTTTTAACGCCACGAGACAATACAGTCGATTCACATACCTGGGTAAATCTAGGGTGTCGGGTGTGTGTTAAAACATCAAGAGGTGTCATTCAACGGAGGGGAGGGGGTGATGTGAGGAGGTAGGGATATAAGGGAGGGGGGGTGGGAGGAGGTAGGGATATAAGGGGGGGGGGGTGGGAGGAGGTAGGGATATAAGGGAGGGGGGGTTGGGAGGAGGTAGGGATATAAGGGGGGGGGGGGGGTTGGGAGGAGGTAGGGATATAAGGGGGGGGGGGGGGGGTTGGGAGGAGGTAGGGATATAAGGGGGGGGTGGGAGGAGGTAGGGATATAAGGGAGGGGGGGTTGGGAGGAGGTAGGGATATAAGGGGGGGGGGTGGGAGGAGGTAATGATATAAGGGGGGGGGTTGGGAGGTAGGGATATAAGGGGGGGTTGGGAGGAGGTAGGGATATAAGGGAGGGGGTGGGGGTGGGAACGTTAAGGACAGGAGATGAAACGGACCTGGATCAAAATATAGGTGTAGGGTGGAGTGAGGAGTTAGAGAAGAAATAAGTGAGAGAGATAGGGAAGGAGGGGGGGGGGGGTAATACAGGGAGGAAGCAGGAGAATGGGAGAGGAAGTGAGAGAGGGATTGGGAATGAGAGAGGAAGGATGTATGATAATAGGATGGAGAAATTGCGAGAGAATGTGAAATTAGGGAGGGAATGAGAGAAGGAGGGAGGGTATAAGAGAGGGAATGAGAACGGGCGAAAGAGGCAACAGATGTAAAACTGACCCAATTGCATGCCCTTCTG